TTAGGCGATGTCCGAGAAAGTGATTCTTGATGGAAAGCAAAGAACTCCCCCCCGATGTGTCATGTGAACGAACTGGGAGAGGTTGAACTGCTAAGGAGGCCATGCGGGGGCTTGCTATTTGGCATGGACCACAAGCAAAAAAAACAAACACACAGACAACCAAGCCAAACTAAGCCAAGCCAAACAAACCAAACCAAACCAAAACAACACGACCCAAACCAAACCAAACCAAAACCAGAACAAAAAACCCAAATCAAACCAAACCAAAGCCAAACAACACGACCCAAACCAAACCAAACCAAAACCAGAACAAAAAACCCAAATCAAACCAAACCAAAGCCAAACCGAACCAAAACAACCCAAACCAGACCAAACCGAACCAAACCAAACCAAACCAACCAACCAGCCAAACAAACAAACCAAACCAAACTAAGCTAAACAAACCAAACTAAGCAAAGCAAACCAAACTAAGCAAACCAAACCAAACTAAGCAAACCAAACCAAACTAAGCAAACCAAACCAAACTAAGCAAACCAAACCAAACTAAGCAAACCAAACCAAACTAAGCAAACCAAACAAACAACGCCGCACACTTTGGAGTTGACATCCAGATTCAATCCTCTTCCCACCCTCAGCTTTGAGAAGACTTCACGTCCCCACTGTGCGCACGGCTATGTGCTGGTTCAAGGTCCGAACCCCTTGCTAATGAGACTGCAGAATGCATGACCCTGACTGCAGCCGCACTGTATCACAGGTCCCTTGAACCCCTTCAACTTTCCGGAGAAAAGATTCACAGTGTCGCCCCTCTGTTTGCGGGCAAGCCGTACTTGCCCACAGTGTAAGCTCCGAGGCGCCTGGTTCTTTTGGACAAAAGGGTGGCCTCTAATGGACCCAGCCAGCAACCCGAAACTACCATTTGCACGTGTCTTCCAAACTGTTTCACATGGCGCCGTGCCTCCAGCGCCTTCACAGCAAGTTTTTTTTTCAACCGGTCTGACATACACCGCGCCCACTTGGCAGACCCCGCCACATGGCCCTCCTCCAGCAACGTGCCCATCTCCGACGCGAACTTCTGGGCAGAGGCAAAGCCGCGCTCTTCGAAGCAAAGGGCGCAAGCAGAAAGCGGAAAATGGCCGTGGGTCAAAAACAGGTTAACCCAAAATGGGACCCTGGTAAGTAGCAACATGGACCAAATCCTGCGGTTCCCTGGCGGTTTAATTTTGACCCACACCCAAATTGGGAGAATCGCGCCGTTTTCAACATGGACCACTGAAGCCTCCCAACATCGAATGCCCCTAAGCACAAGCTCTGCTGCTCAGCTCATGTCACCTGACTCCATCAGTCTTGTTCCCCGGCTTCGTACTGGGGTCGGAGAGGCACAGCTTTGCTTTGCAGATCAGGGAAGGCTTGGAAAAGATGATTCCAATGCAACAGTAATGCCATGTCATGCTAAGGTACGCCGTCTGCCAGCTCTATGAAAGGAGGAATTCTGTGTCTGTGTGTATGTGTGTGCCGCATGAGCTGCAAATGGCTGATAGCCACATCTTTGAGACATCCATCTTGGGTGATGAGCATTATTATCAAGACATTGCAGAGTGTCACCTCCCTGCATGGCTCCTTTCATGAACCGCGAATCGTGTTGCGGCATTGTTGGGCGAATCGTGTTGGTTGGTGGCCCAGCAACCTGAGAAGTGTAGAGATGTATATTATATGTATATATGTGTAAATATGTATGTATGTATGTATGTATGTATGTATGTATGTATGTATGTATGTATGTATGTATGTATGTATGTATGTATGTATGTATGTATGTATGTATGTATGTATGTATGTATGTATGTATGTATGTATGTATGTATGTATGTATGTATGTATGTATGTATGTATGTATGTATGTATGTATGTATGTATGTATGTATGTATGTATGTATGTATGTATGTATGTATGTATGTATGTATGTATGTATGTATGTATGTATGTATGTATGTATGTATGTATGTATGTATGTATGTATGTATGTATGTATGTATGTATGTATGTATGTATGTATGTATGTATGTATGTATGTATGTATGTATGTATGTATGTATGTATGTATGTATGTATGTATGTATGTATGTATGTATGTATGTATGTATGTATGTATGTATGTATGTATGTATGTATGTATGCATGCATGTATGTATGTATGAATGCATTTACTCCATTCATGAATGCACAGACTGTCATGCCTGGAAGTATGGTTACTGGCTGGCTTGTTTGCAGAGGGTCTTGTAGAAGCGTTGGGATGTTTGCCCATCAGGTTGCATGAATCTACGTTGAAGACACAACTTCAGCTTAGGCAGTTTCTCTTGTCTGCATAGGATTCTATTCTTTGTTGCACATGCTTCAGCTCTGGAAGACGACTCAGTCGTTCAGTTTAACCCCACAATCTAAATATGGGTCAAAATTAATCCACCAGGAGACGGCAGGTTTGAGTCTTTGGTTCCATTTACCAGGGCAACCCATTTTGGGGTTACCCCATTTTTGAGCCACAGCCATGTACCACCCTCCCCCCCCCCAGTCCCAAATCCCAGACCTCGCACTCCTCCAGCTGAACAGCCAGCGGGCCCAGGTCGTAGGGAGGGTCCTGTGGTGCGCAACCGTTCGAACTATCCGGGAAGGGCCGGCTGATGTTGACACATTCCCATTGCGGCCATGGTCAAAACACAAAAGCGTCATTTTTTTTGTGGGACATCCTGCATTTCAAATCTATGATGCCCAGCAGCTCACGCTGCTTTGCAAGCCTGTTGTGAACAGAGCGTGTGAACGGAACACATCGCCGAAATCGGAAATCATCCCGTGACTTCACATGTCCGTTCCGGGCCACCGATCAAGCACCAACCGGGTCAGGCCCTGACATCCGGCCAATGCCAAAATGCAAGCGGCAAGCCTCAGGTCTACCAGTGTACTGATTCACTGTATTGCCGCACCGATGCGTTGGTTTGGCAAGTTGCTTGCTTACCGTTTTTTGTTGCTGGTCTGCGTGTTCACTGGTTTACTGTCTACGTTGCCGTAAGCTGATTCAGCTGGTGTTTTGGCTTACTTGTTGCAGGCTGGATTCGTACTGTTCACCCGGCACCCAAGGCCAACGCACCGCTCCTGGCCGTCGAAGTCATGGAACTCCCCATCGTCATCCTGATTTGCGGCCTGGCTGCAAGACACGCCCACTCCAGAGGTGAGGATCGCGTGTTTCAAACAGACTCCCGTCGTACACATTGTTGCTGCATGGAGAAGGGCAATCGCATCTGGTAGCCAGGCATGCAAACCGAGCTGTGCAGATTTACCATACAGCTCCGCACAAAGAAGGATAGAAATCAATAAATAGGGCTATCTACCCAAAAGTATAAGAAGCTCATAGTTTTCCCCATAGCTTGAGGTGCAGTAGAAAATACGTATAATGGTCAACAGCTACGACCGCAGTCCTGCGGGTCCATTGGACAAAACGGAGGTCTTGAAACGATTTCTAGAAGCATATCGAAGCAGAAAAGTGGCCATGGACAGTTGGGCAGGGCGGCTTCTCAGCCTGCAAGATGCCTGCGTTTATTGGCTTGACGGCTCAAGCAATGCGATTAAACTAATCGGCCTAGACAAGGAGTTCACTCGATTCCCTGCCTCCTGCTTCAGCATCTGGCTCAGCACCTGAGTGATGGCAGGCACGCCCCTGGGCGAGTTACGCTGAAGGCATCAGGTGTCCTTGAGGCACAAGAAAGTGGGCAAGAGATGCAAGCTACATCTTGAACACCGGACGAGAAGGGCCACCCCTATTCGCATCATGCTCACGTCTCTATGGAGAAGACGTGTATTGGAGCATCCCCGTCCCCTCTTAACTGCATTGATTGGGGGTTCGGGATGCAAAAAGCTGACCCTACCCCAGCCGAACTGAAGCGTGGCCAATTTGTGCCGCCCGGGTGCTTGCGCCATCTCCTCCTTTGCCTCCGCGCTTTGGCGCCACCAGCACCACAGCTCCTGGAACGAATCGGATCGGTGCCGCAGAAGCCCCCCCCTACCTTCAGCAGGAGGGGGGGCTCCCCAGTTCCATTGATCTAGTCTTTCCCATAAAAGGGAAAATGGAACCACAAATGGAATTCCAGGGGTCACCCCCCTCCCCAATTCCACCCTTAAAGGGGGTGGGGATTCCAAGGGCACCGTAGCCACAAATGTTCGCCGCCGCGCCCGTCGCCGCATTCACGAGACTTCCAGAAAGCATGGGGAGCTTGTGAACACGGGATATGATGGGGACAGAGGACAACATTCCTGCCTGTGGAATGTACCAAGTAGTACCAACACCATCGAAGGCAAACGGACCCTGAAGCCCGCGAGGCCTAGATTCCATGAGTATCCCCAGAGAGAATAATTCAATTTCCCAAAGCTTGAAGCTGGATGCGTGCCGATGCAACTGCCGTTGCACCGGGTCTCGTTCAACGGACGGCCGCCGGAGGGTTGCTCAGCGCTCGGCTCCTGGAGGCCCTTGGCCTTCTCCAAGAGCTCCTGGCCCGCGTAGGACTGGCGCACCACCTTGGAGGAGTTCCTCAGCGACCAAAAAGCTCCGACCAAACTCGGCAAAGCGCCAGGAAACAAACGACACACGCTAAGAGACACACACACACACACTCACACACCAGGAACCAAAAAGCAAAAGTTTTGAAAAGTGAGCAGCAAGTGCATGTGAAAAGGCAGTGATTCGTGAAAACGGCCTCAGAGTCGCTGTGCTCTGACGAGTGCAGTCGGTTGTAAGCCCATTTCGTCATGCGCTCAATGCGCGAGCGGCTAGGTCCTCAAGCAAGTCCAAGTCACTTTAAACGTTCTGAACGTTGGGCCGGTTTCCAGTTTGGGACTCCAGGTAAAGGGTTCGCACCACCTTCCCGGCCTTTGATGCACCGTGGCAAAGCATGCCGTCTCTCACTTTCCGAGTGCCTGGCACGAAACTCAGGATGGCCTTGGCAGCTTGGTGTGATGGGTGGGAAAGTATTGTTGCGCTTCTGCTCCCTCGGTTTTAGCCTCACAACCTGTCAAAACCGACAAGTCGAATGGTCGACCTGTTGCCTTTCCTGGCGCGGTGCAGGGCAAGCTCCGCCGAGGCTCAGAAATGAACCTGGGCCTCGTCCTGGGAACTCAAGCGTATGAATTCATAGAGCAGGTGACTGGAGGGCCTCCAATGTTTGACTTGCGGAACTTGCGCCAGCACGAGAGGCGCACACCAATGCCTGGGACATTGAGCAAAGACTTGCTGCAACGAAGAGGACGAGCTGGAAGGCTGCCAAGGACAAGCCAACGCTGAACACGAGGCAGGAGAACCAGCCCGAAGAGATGTCATGGAGAAGGACAAGGGGTCCACGGTTTACCATGCAAACCTTCAACTTGAACATGGCGGAGATGCAATCACAATCTACACCAATCAAAAACACTCCAAAAACTCAGAAACCCAGTGGCAGGTCCACCTGGCCTCCCTCCTGGGGCCTGGCCCTTCCCCCCCTTCCCTCCCTCCCTCCCCCCCTTCCCCACCCCCCCCCGGCCCCCCCCCTTCCCCACCCCCCCGGCCCCCCCCGCCGCCTGGCCCTTCCCGCGCGCCCGCGCGCCCGCGCGCCCGCGCGCGCGGGGGAAGGAAATTTCTCTGGGGCTTCGCGCCAGCTGAAGCTGGTCCTCGTCCATGGCGGCGTCGGCCATGGCCTTCCGCAGGTGGATGAGGCTGATCCTTGGTCGCTTCGAGGTGGTACCCGCAACCGGGCATAGATTGGAGGGTGTGTGTGTTTGTTTGTTTGTTTGTTTGTTTGTTTGTTTGTTTGTTTGTTTGTTTTTGTTTGTTTTTGTTTGTTTTTGTTTGTTTTTGTTTGTTTTTGTTTGTTTTTGTTTGTTTTTTGTTTGTTTGTTTGTTTGTTTGTTTGTTTGTTTGTTTGTTTGTTTGTTTGTTTGTTTGTTTGTTTGTTTGTTTGTTTGTTTGTTTGTTTGTTTGTTTGTTTGTTTGTTTGTTGTTTGTTTGTTTGTTTGTTTGTTTGTTTGTCTGTTTGTTTGTTTGTTTGTTTGTTTGTTTGTTTGTTTGTTTGTTTGTTTGTTTGTTTGTTTGTTTGTTTGTTTGTTTGTTTGTTTGTTTGTTTGTTTGTTTGTTTGTTTGTTTGTTTGTTTGTTTGTTTGTTTGTTTGTTTGTTTGTTTGTTTGTTTGTTTCTTTGTTTCTTTGTTTCTTTGTTTCTTTGTTTCTTTGTTTCTTTGTTTCTTTGTTTCTTTGTTTCTTTGTTTCTTTGTTTCTTTGTTTCTTTGTTTCTTTGTTTCTTTGTTTCTTTGTTTTTTTTTTGTGTGTGTGTGTGTGTGTTTTTTTGGGGGGGGGCGGGGGGAACTGTTAAAACGAGTACTCGCGAAATGAGGCTGGCACGATCTCTCTTTGCGTGTTTGTGGCGGATCCAGGTTTCCTACCCCACGATGACTCTCCTTTTGGGGATCTTGTAGGTTCCAAACGGGAGGGGAAGCTGTTCCAGGGACTTGGTTGGTTGGCTGGCGCGCTCCCCGTGGAATCAGTGTGAAATCCGTGACCCTGGGGCCCACGCTCGTCACTGGTCGTGGGCATTTCATCTTCCATAGAGTTCCTGCGATTCAAAGGAGCCAGAGGGAGCCACGAGGCCGTACAGAAGCTGTGAAACCTGTGGGGTGAGTTTCCATGTCTGTCACCTGCCAACAAAAAGGCCCTTGATTTTGAGAATATTGAAACGGACGGGCTCCGGGCAAGAAGTCTGCGACCGGTTTAGCGGCGTCACCAACATCGGCGTGTGGTGTGCTCAGTGCAATGTTTCACTCAACTCCGGAAACGCTGTAACCGCAAACCACAGCGTGCTGCGACGACCCTCTCACCTCCAATTCTCGGACGGCCTCTTCATCGGAGGCTCCACGGACTGCGAGATAACGTCCACGTCTGGCTGGATGATGTCCGCCTGGTGGCTCAGCAAAGTTTGGGGAATGGCCCTTCCTGAAGCTGGACAATCGGATCTTGGGCTTCCGGAGTCTTAGTTCGAATTGATCGGAGTTCTAATGGTCGGCGCTTGCTTGTTTCACAACGTGCTCTTGGCATCGACCCCACGAGGAGGTTCACAGGTTCCGTGGTTTCCCGGCGCAATCCTGACGCGTCTGGATTGCTAGCTGGGCTGCGCTCGGGATCGTTGTAGGGTCTTTTTCTTGCTCGGTTTCGAGCGGATTTGAGCTTGCTTAAAAAAAAACATGTCAGACTGGATTTGGCCTGGTTGAAGAGAGGTGTCGGTTTAGGGGTTGGTTTAGGGGTGTTTACTCCTCCTTGCCTCAGTTCATTTGTGCTGGAGTGGTGTTTGTCTTGCCACTGCCGCGATGCCACCTTTTCACCAGCAAATGGGCAAGTACCTTTCCTTCCTCCTGTCCTGTTCCCTGAAAAAGCGCGGCCCGGGGTAAATGGAATAACCCCCATCTAAACCAGTGGAACCCATCTACTTTTAACCAAACTAACCTAAAAAGGACACCTATGGTCCTAAGGTTACCTTCACACACCACGGCCAGGTGAAACCAAAAATCCACGGCGACGATCGGCGCCGATCGGCCGGTCCAGTGCCCACCTGCAGCACCGCGGCCACCCGGACGTCCAGCAGAATCCGGCGGTCCGCCTCCTGGGATCGGGCGCCAAACTTGAGACCCTTCCGACTTGCTCTAGCTTTTCCCTTGGCAGAAAGACGACACCCGCATAGATGCACAAGTCAAAACTAAAGGCCAACGATGCCAAAACAAAGCTTATAAGCTAAGCTAACCCGACCAACAAACAAGCAATGAAACGAACAAACAAAAGAATTTGCAAAACATGCAAACGAAGGAACGAATAAACGAGGGAACAAACGGACGACCGGACGGACAAACAAAAACACAAAGAAACAAACAAACAAACAAACAAACAAACAAACAAACAAACAAACACACAAACAAACAAACAAACAAACAAACAAACAAACAAACCAACAAACAAACAAACAAACAAACAAAGAAGAAAGCACGCAAGCACGCAAGCAAGCAAGCAAGCAAGCAAGCAAGCAAGCAAGCAAGCAAGCAAGCAAGCAGGCAAGAAAGCAAGCAGGCAGGCAGGCAGGGGTAGGAAGGCAAGCAAGCAAACAAGGCAGGCAGGAAAGGCAGGCAGGCAGACAAACAGGGAGGCAGGCGCAGGCAGGCAGGCGCAGGCAGGCAGGCAAGCCAGCAAGCAAGCAAGCCAGCAAGCAAGCCAGGCAGCAAGCAGTCAGGCCGGCAGGCAAGCAAGCCAGCCAGCCAGGCAGGCAGGCAGGCAGGCCGGCAGGCAGGCAGGGCAGGCAGGCAGGCAGGGCAGGCAGGCAGGCAGGCAAGCAGGCAGCCAGCCAGCCGGCAAGCAAGCAAGCAAGCAAGCAAGCAAGCAAGCAAGCAAGCAAGCAAAAAAACAACAACGTGGATACAACAGTTCTAAGCAAACAACGCAATTCTGCGGTTGGCACAATGAGTAACTGCCCATTCCCCGGGAGACAGAATGAGAAAGAGAAATTACAGACAAACCCGTCTCACTTGAATCTTGGTCAAGGAATGGCGCTGCTATCGCTCTCTCCCCTCAGGCGCATGACTGTGTCCGTGTAAGTTGCTTGCCCCTCGCAGAAGGGAGAGAGACAGAAAGCGAGAACCGCAAACTTCAAATTACCGCGAGTATGCAGTCTGACAGTCAAGAGTCAAGAGGAGCCTAGGGCCCTCTAAACCCCACTGAGGCGATTGGCTGTCTGTCGCAAAGCGGAAAAGGAAAGAGCAGTCACACAGTACCAGGAAGTGGCGCATGGCACATGACTGTCGCCAGATCCATTTGACAGCAGAGTCGTGACACTAATATACGAGGGGAAAAAAAAAAAAACAATTTGAAATCATTCATCACCCTAGCTTGGGCATATGTCCACTGTTCACTGGGAGAAAGGGCAATGTTTGTCAGCCACAACATGCCGCAACGGTATCCCTCCTGCACAATGCCCTGGTTGACCATGACGATTGCGTGGTCCGCAAGCATCTGGCGCGTTTCTCAGGCAAAACACTGAGATATGGGCCGGCGCGGAGAGGGCAGATTCAACGACAAGGCTTTCCCACGCTGTTTGCCTCAATGGCAGAGCTCAACTTCCTAGTCCTAAGCCAGCGTTGTGGGCTCCACGCACACGCACACGCACACGCACACGCACACGCACATGCACCTGCTCCGTGTCTGTATAGGTCAAAGTCCCGGGATACTCATCTGAGTCACAATCAAAACCCGGTATGAAAATGGTCCACCCAGAACCATTTAAAGAATTAAGAAGGCGCCCGCAGCTATTTATGGCTGGGATTGTCCCTTACTAACCTTCGTCTGCCCGGGTTTTGATTGTGGCTCATCTGTGAGCACCTCTCCCCGCCTCAGAGAAAATGTTCAGGGCCTGCTGGAGCGCGTGGCCATCCTCACCGGTCACAAGGGACCATCAGGTCACGTGAAGCTCTCGCTCGAGCCAAATATGGATCTGCTCTCCCCGCGGAAATTCAAACATGGAGGTGCTGTCCTAGAGACAAGTTGGGCAAAGAGGCAAGCAAACAAAACCCCTCTCTGCCATGCAAGAAGCGCTCACAGCTTCCAGCTGCTCCAGTGGGCTTGCTCTGATCCGACCAGTCCTTCAACAAAAAAAAGTCGGCTTCCAAGCTTGGAAATGGCCCTTTGGGCTTATTGGCTTCGCAGGGATATGGGTGGCATGGGCTGTGGCCAAGCTGCCGCCTCCAATCCTCCAAGCTCCATGCCCCCAGGACCGAAGCCGCACTTTGGGAAGATCCCTCGACTATCAACACTCGGGAGATTCTAATTTGTGGGCGAATATCGCCCACGTTGCAGCCGAATATATATATATATATAGAGAGAGAGAGAGATAGATGGATGCATGGATAGACAGATAGAAGGATAGATTAGATAGATGAGATAGATTAGATAGATTAGA